TATTTTAAAATTAAATCAATCTATATATCCAACCCTACCAAATTTCATTCCCGCACTCTAATTATTTTCCTCTCTCCCTCCTCTCTTCTTTTTCTTTACCATACCCAACCACCATCAAAGGCGATTGCTGTGCACGACACCGCCGACATGACCGTAATACTGTGCAAGTTGATGTAGTAGTAGCACTCACGATGCTATTGTGGAGATATCGCTTTGAAAGCAGTGACGTTATCTCCGGCATCATAATGCATCAACTGGGGTGGTTTTCATAGTTTTCATACTATCGTGGTTTTCAGCAGAGGCATCGTCATCTCTGGCTCTAATTAGATTTGTTCTGCTGTGGTATTCACCACGACAGCGTCATCTCCGACTCTGATTAGATTTGTTTTGTGGTGGTTTTCATGTGTCATCGTAATGGTGATGAGGTGCTGGTGGTGGTAGTGATGTTGCTTGGGGTGTGGTGTTGGTGGCGGTCGTCACGATGGTGACTGATGATTTTGGATCTAATTTTTTGGTGGTGTTTGGATGATAGTGGTTGTGGTGTTAGCTACGGTGATGATGTGATGGTGATGTTGGTTGTGGTCGTGACTATAGTAGTGGTCGGAGCGGTGGTGTGGTAGTTGTAGGTTGGATGGGATGGGATATTTGTGACCAATTATTTGGTTGATTGTGATCAATAATTTAGTTAATGTATGACCAATAAATAATATGTCTGTGACCATAAATAATGTGTGGTCTAAAAATTTGTTAAATTGTGATCAATAATTTGATAATTTGAAATTTAGAAATAATTTGTGACAAATTAATTTAATATTTTGTGACCATAAAATAAGTTGTAACTTATAAAATTTGTGATTTGTGATCAAGAAATAATATGTGATCTATTAATTTGATAAATTTGTTGTCAAGAAATAAGTTGTGAGCTATACAATTTGAGATTTGTGATCGTGATGTCTGTAATTTTAATTAATACATAACTCAGACAATTAATTATATAATATTGTGACCTTAATATATTTACTTAATAAAAAATATATAATTAATTATTCTATAAATTAAATTTAATTAATATCTTATTTTTAAAAGGATTAATAGCAGACGGTGAGATGATTTTTCGTACAAAAGTATTCAAATAAATGGGTTTTCTACGATTTTCAATAGGTAGGGGTCTCTCAAATGAAAACGTTATCAGGGAGGTTTTCTTCGATTATTCCTTTTTAAAATAATAAACATTGTTTCTTAATTTTGAAATGGGTCATACTTAATCTCTTCGATATGAAATTTTTCCTTTTTAAAATTCATGCTCAAATGGAATTCTATTCATATGATGCTGCCCCAACATTTTTTTTTTCAATAAGTCATGCCTCTAATTAAAATTGACGTTCAACTTTTCTTCCTTCAAAATGCTAAAAGAGTAAATTTAGGGTGAACTTTAAAAGTTTGAATATTATTATCGTAATTTTGAATGTTGTTATTTGTAAAAGAATTATTTAGTTTATAACCTTATTTTCAACTATTTACCGAATATTCCATATAAAGTTTGACCTAAAACCCTCGAAATCAAGTGAAATATTTGTTGTATATTATTATTTACAGATTTTTTTACCGATGAATGAGTTGACAATGAATTAAATTAAATTTATTAAAATCTTTTCACCACTTAAACAGTGGTGCTTAGGTAAGGTGGGCTAATGGAAAAAAAAAATATGGAGGAATTTTTTTTATTTAGTTGGTCTCACTACTTCATCTGTTGATAAAAAATCTATAGGTTGTAATGTACATGTAATGCAATAAAAATTCAAGAGTGGGCACTGGTCAAATATCCTCAAATATAACAGTACAGGTACGTAATTGATTAGAAGTTAACACAATAATGAAAGAGCTATATTGATGATGTCAACTGCTCTACACAATTCAAGTCTCCTCAACACAGAAATTCAAGCCCAGTAATCAAACTGCAAACATAAATTACAGATATTCAAACAGAATAACACCCAGAAAACATCAGACAAATTCAGTAAATGAATTTGCAGAAGTTAAGGCTGTCTTATTATATTTATCTTTATTACACACACTTTTATCAAATCCATGATTATTTTTTGGGGCTTAGAACATTTGTTTGCTTCAGCAGTTGCAAGGGTCACATTGACAGTTTGATCCACACTTGCAGCCATGACCTCCTTCAGCACTGAAGCTTTTCTCAGATCCCTCAGAGTACCTGTGACCATAAAATTTTCGCATGATGAACATAACGGAGATGAGAATATTTAAAATGGATGTCATCGTACTAGAATGGATAAGTTAAGAAACTACTTAATATACACAAATAAGTGGAAGTTACACGGATTGTTGATAAGTTAAGTTTAGCACCCTGCAAGTAGTCGTAGTCCTTCTGTTATCAACTTGGGAAGCTTAAGGGGCTAGTTAAATGCGGCTACAGGAACCCAAGATTTCGCCCTCTCTGAACCAACTTGAATCTGAACTACCATTCAGAAGTCTTGCCAAAAATCGGATTGCGTTTTGGGCTCTGAACCCCTTAAATAATGGATGCTTAAATACTTGCAATTGAATCTGTAAGCGGTGCAGGGTAGGATGGACGAGAAGAAGACAGAGAAGGAGAAGATACGATTCTCAATCAACAAGTAGAAATGTAATATTTATTTACGTGGCTATTGGTCAAAAAGCACTTATGTGATTCAGGTAGTAACTACTTTACAGAAAAGGGGGACGATATAAGCTCCCGAACTTCTGTCATTGGATCTCGCTCAAAGGCTGGACTAACTATGTGCTAAAAGGACGTGTAAGATCTGATTCAAAGTGAATAGGCACTGCACCTGGGATCTCTTCCAAAGGAAGGAAAGAGGCCAAACCAATCCATGAAGTAAGAAGTAAACAAATCGTAGATTTTATTGAGATAAGTGAAAATCCCCATCTCAGAACTGTATGAGGCTTTCATCTTGTACAATACTAGTTGCAATGGATATGACGATGACTTACATCTTCATTGGTGCGACCCCTTCAATGATGGTAACTGTTGTGCTCTTCTCCACATCCGGGTACATTTTGCCGCAACTGCCAATACGAAAACAGATGAGTAAATTAACAAAGAACCATATCGAGTAGCCACATGTCCCTCTCTTAATCTTTGGAGTTTCCAAAACAGAAATACTAATATCTTAAAAATTTCCGAGAACACAAGACAACCTTATAATCCTTGATATCGTAGGAATATTAAGTCGAGAATTTACCTGCAGTTGCTGCCGCAAGAGCAGCTTGAGCCACAACCACAGCCTGATGACATATTCTTCAGATGAAAAGTGAATTAAGGGTAGAGAGTTTTCCAAGTAAAATGAATTCTCTGAAGTTGGGTGTTTCTTGATAGACTCTTTGGCTCCTATTTATAATGCTTTATGATGCAGTGCACTTAAGACGTGTTTGCATATTGGACTCGATACAGAAAAAGAAAAATTAAAAGTTATTTTGTGAAATGATATGATAATAAAGTGATTCTTTGTATATCGGACAGGTTACCAAGAAAAAAATTAAATTCAATACATAGTTTCAACGTTTTGAAATAGGAAAAATCTTGTGGAGATCGCCGGCCCCTCAACTTTTTATTCCATAGTAGCTTGGTCCCTAATAGTTTTCATCTACTTAGCTTTTAAAAAGTTAGAATTGAAGAGACATCGATTAAAATAAAAGAGAAGCAAAAAATTATTTTAAAAAAAAAACTTCTGGGGACAACATGGGTAAGGCACGAAGAAAACTAGTGGAGATTAGTTGAGGGGAATGGTGGTCGGGGAGAACCCACTAACATTTTTGGAAAATTTGCACATTTTGTTTTCAACTTTTGCAAATTATTACTAATCTATCATCAACCTTTTTCTAGTATCAGACATCCTCAAACTTTTCAATCTGTGATGAGGAAAAAATATCGATAGGCCCGAGCTCGAGCTACTTG